CAAATTAAACGGCATTCATGCAATTAAATCGAAAAGAATCTAGCCATCAGTCATGATTAACCCCTTCATCAATCCTAAATCCCTAATTAAACTACTCACAATTCATAATTGAAGAATCAACAGAATTGGGAAGAATAGATTAAATTGTCATTAATTAAAAAGATGAACTAACAAATAATCCCAGGGTCTTGGAAGAAAATAGCGTAAAAACGGTGTTAAGTTCATCCCTAGGCCTCTCCGTAATGTTCCTCCCACTAAAAAGGGTTAGGGAGGCCTTATTTATAGAAAAGAGGGGGAAAATCACAATTCTGGTTGATGTGGGAAATTTTCGCGCGTAACTCGGGGCTACGTACGATCGTGCGTCCCTGGCTACGCACGATCGTGCGTAGCAGGCAGTAGCTCCTCCACGGTTTTGGCTCTTACGCACGATCGTGCGTCTGGGACGCACGGTCGTGGTCCGTGTTCTTCAGACTTTTCTCTAGTCCTAATTTGACAAAACGTCCTTTATGAAAATTTTAGATAATGATGTTATCTATCTACCCCAACTTGCCGAATGTGATTTGAATCATCCAATCAAGAGATATGATCAAAACGGTGGAAGGTGTCATTCTGTAATTGCAGCAGAGATCATCTGACTTCGTCATCTGTTTTCACCTTCTTGCTCTCCTATTCTCGTAATGGTGTCTTCATATGATTTGTAGCCCTTGAAGTTGTATTTCATATACAACTTGAATCATGTCCATTAGTTGTTTCTACAAAGATATATTCTTGAATGATTGACAGAAGGTCATCCTGATCGTCGATTTCAAGCTCCATTCATCTTATTTTGATCCCGTAGCCATTCCTAGAGCACTCTTGTCGTCAAAACTTCATCGTGAACCTCCCGGTGACCTCCAAATCTCTCAATTCACTCTCGAATGCTTCTCAACTTTTCCTGATTTCTTCTCAAGCGCCGGTGTCGAACTCTAAAATCTTCATTTTGACTCCAAATGACACAAAACTCGAACCAACGCCTGTTAAACATAACTTGAGCTAAAATTGAGACTTGTAACACCTTAAAGCTAGGAAAACCATCAAAAGCCAATCTCAACACGCATCAAATGCGTGTCTAAATACGGACTTATCAGTCCGCAAACGTAAGATCCATAAACTAAAGTCAAAGGCACAAGAGCAGGACATTCATCATCCGCATAACCAAGGGCGCCCAACGTCTTCTGGTCCAGGACCCTCATCGTCCTCAAAACCATTGACAACAAACTACGAGTGATTTCGCCTCGGCCTGGAGTGCTGAAAGCAATTGTGATGCCTCCTCGGCTGCGCAGGGGTGACACTCATCGTCCTCGAAATGAAGGGCATTCATCGTCCTCAAAATGAAGGACATCCATCGTCCTCAAGATAAAGGACATCCATCGTCCTCGAGATAAAGGACGTTCATCGTCCTCAAAATGAAGGACGTCCATCGTTCTCAAGATAAAGGACATCCATCGTCCTCAAGATAAAGGACATCCATCGTCCTCGAGATAAAGGACGTTCATCGTCCTCAAAATGAAGGACATCCATCATCCTCAAGATAAAGAACATCCATCGTCCTCGAGATAAAGGACATTCATCGTCCTCAAAATGAAGGACGTCCATCGTCCTCGAGATAAAGGACGTTCATCATCCTCAAAATGAAGGACGTCCATCGTCCTCAAGATGAAGGACATCCATCGTCCTCGAAATGAAGGGCATTCATCGTCCTCAAGATGAAGGACATTCATCGTCCTCAAAATGAAGGATATTCATCGTCCTCAAAACGAAGGACACTCATCGTCCTCAAAATGAAGGACGTTCATCGTCCTCAAAATGAAGGACACTCATCGTCCTCAAACTGAAGGACATTCATCGTCCTCAAAATGAAGGGCATTCATCGTCCTCAAAATGAAGGACATTTATCCATCGGCCAAAGCGTCAGAACAACGAGAATCTACTCCCTTTCACTTCGTCTGCATCTCAGCTCAGAGAGTGGGGGACTCCTGATGGAGTATATGGGTCCAGACCCCATGACCCACATACTCAGAAGACTAAGAGGAGCACAACTGTCATCCAGTGGAGCCTCCATCGGCCAGATGGCACCCCATCGGCCGAAGAAGAGTCAAACCGGAATATGCTCCAGAAGCCAAGGAGAAGACTTGTCCTTCGTCGGCCAGTGCCCCCGTCGACCGAGCGTCTCCGTCGGCCATGCCTCCGTCGGCCGAGCGTCTCCGTCGGCCAGAAGGAACTCACAGAACTAGACTTCTAATGTTATCAGCCCAATAGAGGCTCTATATTGTAATGGGCCTCCCAAGCCCAAGACTTGGGAACCCAGCCCACTTTTTCCTATAAATACTCCCCTGATGGAGTATATGGGTCCAGACCCTATGAACCACATACTCAGAAGACTAAGAGGAGCACAACTGTCATCCAGTGGGCCCTCCGTCGGCCAGATTGCACCCCATCGGCAGAAGAAGAGTCAAACCGGAATATGCTCCAGAAGCCAAGGAGAAGACTTGTCCTCCGTCGGCCGAGCGTCTCCATCGGCCATGCCTCCATCGGCCGAGCATCTCCGTCGGTCATGCATCCGTCGACCGAGTGTCTCCGTCGGCCAGAAGGAACTCACAGAACTAGACTTCTAATGTTATCAGCCCAATAGAGGCTCTATATTGTAATGGGCCTCCAAAGTCCAAGACTTGGGAACTTAGCCCACTTTTTCATATAAATACTCCCCTTGGGAGAAGTTGTAAGGGTTCAAAAAAATCATTAATACAACTCACTTCTCTCTCTAGCTCTCCCTTCTATCTAGAATAAATACTCTATCAAACATAAACACAAACATAAACATAAACATAAACATAAACATAAACATAAACATAAACATAAACATAAATATAAATATAAATATAACAAATGAGAGAAAAGATTAGTTAACAAATTAAGATTGTTGTTGTTTTTATTACAATCGAGAAAAATTCATTACTAAATTATAAATCTCACCTTCTATGACTTAGTTACACTTTGGGAGGAAATTTTGGAGTCAAAATGGGTAGACATTGTTACTTTATACTCATTATATAAACTTTAATAATGAATGCTACTCTACCAACTCGCTAATAATTGAGGGTATCATATCTATGATGCATATAGGGATGACAATGAGGCTGGTTTGAGGCGAGGTTCACTCCTCCATTTCCTGCCGCATGTTTAAAAAGTTCCACACACCCCACCTTGTCACCCGTTGCTCCAAGACCCTCCCCGCCCTTTGTCTACCGCAGGTGCCCACGGTGTCCCATGTAGATTTAATTTACCTTTGTATATTTTTCGATGGATTCTACATGCACATCATTAGCACTAAAAGAGCTAAATTAGACAATATTGTGTTTGATAAAAACTAACAACACAAATTTTGTTAATTGTTTAATTTGAATAAGATTTGTGAAGATAATAAAAGTAAAAACATAAGTAACACATTATCATCAAATATGTTGTATGTTCTAATTCATCATATAATATATAATACAATTAATTATGTGTATATGTGTTCCATGCATTCACTTCTCACTTTTAAAACCTATCTAACGATTTTGACAAGTATTACTATGTTTTAGTTATTAGTTATGACTATTACGATATAATATATTAATTCATTAATGATGTGCACTAATATATATACATACATGTGTGTATGTGTATATGTACGTGTGCATGTGTTTGTTATATGTAATATAATTATACTACGTATAGGTTTACATGTTATTTACTCCTATATATGTACTATAAATATATACTACTCGTAATAAATGAAAACACATAAAAACTATTAAATGCGGAATTAGAAGTCGTCAATCCTATTTGCCATAGGCGCAGTTTACAATTGAATCCAATTTTACCTTGTTATGTTTTTAGGCAAAAAGCGGCTTTTATTAACTTTAATAAAATTGTGCAAACGTTGATGAAGGAAGAAAAATGAGAGAAGCTAAGGTAAATAAAACGCCAAGGAGATTGATAAAAAATTAAAAAAAACGACCACTCGATCAAATCGCTAAAGCAAAATGCACCCTAGCTCCTGTCTCGCCCATTGGGTTAGAGAAATCCTAGAAACTCGAATATTGGTGACCCAGTTTTGCTTCAATTTTTTGTTCAAGTAGGGTACGGTCTTGAGCAGCTCGCGATCCATAAACAACGTGTATTGTATTCAATTACATCACCCTCCACAGGATAGTTTGTGAATGCTCCCAAGAAAACAGACATGTAGAGGCCGGCCAGTGATTCTTCATTGACACCGCCAATTCCAACATATATTAATTAATGAGCCCTGAAATTACTCATTCTGCTTGTACAACCCCTTAGCTTATTGATGATGCGCGCTCTCTGATTCGGGAATATAAACATAATGAATTCTAAACATGTTTTCCTGAAAGAATAAAGAATAGTCAACACAAAAAATCCCAAAATCCTCTTTAATATCATGCAAATTAATTAAATATAGTAGAATAAAAAGATGAAAATCAGTACCCTTCCTAGTTCCTACCCTCGAGAATAATAATAGTAAATTTGCGCCTATTGTCAACCACCACTAAACGAATGAAACCGGCCTCCTAATCAGTGGCGGCGGAGCCTGCAGGAATATATATGATTTAGAGGGGGTCGAAGCTTGCTTAAGTCAATTATATATTTTGCAATTTCCGAGAAGTTTCATACTTAGTGATTGACCAGAATGAACACACTATAAAACATTGCACAACCAATCAATCCCACCCTCATCAAAAGATATCGAGCAAGTGTAGTTCTTTTTAAATTGTCTGATTTGAAGCGAAGAAGTTACGTTGTTAGCTTAAAATAATCATATATGCTTGCACTAAAGCACTACTCGTGTATGGAAATTCATGCATGTAGGTCTGCAGAGGTGTGGAAAGAGCTGTAGATTGAGATGGATAAATTACCTGAGGCCTGACCTTAAGAGAGGGATGTTTTCGCAAGAAGAGGAGGACCTCATACTCACTCTTCATGAAGTTCTTGGAAACAGGTAATTAACCCACTGCCCTTCTTTTGTTTTCGTCCTCTTTCTGGTCATAACTATAGATAATGAATCCCTTAAGCTGAAAGTGTTAGCCCAATTGATTTATTACACATCTAGGCATAAGTTGTGTGTGTCGGACCAATTGGGTCTGATGGGTGTGGGCTGAAATGTACTTGTAAGCATAATGAGGGGTGTATAAGTGCGATTTAAGGCATTATATATAGAGCAAGACTTGTGTGAGAGATGGCACTCCTATTAATTGTGCAACCTTTTTTTGTGACAGAATTGAAATTCATTACTTCCTATTATTTATTTCTCTTTACCCAAATCACAACCAAACAAATTTCTTTTATCAATTCACAAATGATAAAGCAATTGAAGTTGTAATTTTATGTTTATATTGGAAAAAATGGGGTATTCTTTTTCACAATGTTTTTAACTATACTTTTTACACGGGATATTTTTTAGCCAAGTGAGATCTTCTTTAGTAGAAAGGTGATATTGAGGGTACTATTTTACTTTGTTTCTTTTATTTCCTTTTCGAATTGTACTGTTTTCTCTTATCAATAAAATTCACCTTTCTTAACAAGAAAAAAGAAGGTGATATTGACTATTGAGGTGCATGTCTACACATGGTTTAGGACTAGTTAGTTTCATTGGGTATGGTAAAAATCACATAGTCGTATGTTACAATTCTCCATAAAACAAACAAATAAGTTATTGTTTGGCCAAATGGCAGGTGGGCACAAATTGCAGCAAAACTTCCTGGGAGAACGGATAATGAGATCAAGAACTTTTGGAACTCTTGTCTTAAAAAGAAGCTAATGAAGCAAGGAATTGATCCACACACACACAAACCCATAACCCAACCCCTATTAATAAGAACAGAAGATCCAAAGAACTGCAATAGTCTTCCAGCATTGCCTAATGATCATCTCCCAAATTTGGAAATCTCAACTACACAAATGATCACCAAAGAGCAAGCTTTTGATCCTCTATTCTTGTATGAGCCCCAAGAGAATATGAATTGTTACCTCAATCCCAATTACGGATTTAGCTCATTGCCCGGACTAATGAATATAGAGTCTGATATTTTCTCAGATGGGTCAAATTCAAGAATGGGTTCCAATAGCAACAACATCATGGACAATGCGCCACGATTTTCATGGGAAATTGGGAACAGAATGGAAGACACATTATTTAATCAGTATGGGTTCAACAATGGTGAGATGATCATCAAACCTGAAGAAAATGAGGATGTGGTGGAGGAGGAAAGCCAATTAATTGAAGCACACTGTTCTAGTAATTTCACTCGTGATGACTATACATTGACTCCCCTTCAACATGGCATGAGTGGGGATAATATTGATCTCTTCCCTCAAATTTGAGATTTGATACAATAACAATTTAGTTTAATCTATGAGTTGTACTTTTAGGCTTTTTCTTCGATCCTCCCTTCCCCTATAAAAATACAATATACAGCTACATAAGAACATGGGTTTATAGACTTAAGTTGATGAGGTGTGAATTCTTCCCCCTTTCAATCGATTATCTCTTATTATTTATTTCAAATTTCTTTCCATTGTAAGTGTAAAAGTTTTCTCTGAATTTATTGGCGTCATGTCTTTATAAAAAATAATATTGTTATCGAATTTGCTAACTAAAACACTGACAATTGAAGAAAGTTATAAACTTGTTTTATGTTTATTTTGATGTCGCGTTACTTATCATTCATGTTATCATGTTATAACCATAGGAGTTTACTTATTTACATTCTCAGCATCTCTTTGTACGTGTGCATGTGGATGAAAACGGTTAAATCACACGTGCTCACACGTAGAAGCATTTTTAGGAAGTTGAGAGCATGGTGTGCGTGGGTCATTAACTGCATTTTAGTTTGTGTATTTATGGATGTTACTAGGAGGTTTTTTGTATCCGAATGTACTGGATTTTTCCTCCTAGGATGAATGAAAGATTGTGAAGAAATACCCCTTGTCTTTGATCTACAAACACACATATGTTCTTTGTTTAGGACTTGTTGATTTAATACGTTTGAAGCTTGCGTATCAAGTGTGTTTCTTACATTTGGTATCAGAGCTTGGTCTTTGAAGATCCACTATGTCTCAAGATACGCAAGATGATGCATGCAGTCACGAGAAGAATGACACCATCACACTCAGATATCCTATGCTCACAAAGACTAATTATGCTGCTTGGGCCATCAAGATGGAAGTGTTCATGATGGCTCAAGGAGTGTGGGATGCAATTGAGAGTCAAGGTACAGTTGATGTGCGTAAAGACAAGATGGCCTTGGCAGCTATATACCAGGGTATAAGTGAAGACACTCTTCTTCAGTTGGGGGCAAAAAGGACAACCAAAGAGGCATGGAGCATGCTAAAAACCATGAATCTTGGGGCTGAAAAAGTAAAAGAGGTACGCACTCAATCTCTGTGGAGAGAATTTGAGGCTTTGAAGATGAGTGATGGAGAGAGTGTTGATGAATACTCAGGAAAGCTTCAGATCATAGTTACCAAACTAAGAGGTTTGGGAAACAATGTCAAAGAGGAGCAAGTGGTGAAGAAATTGTTGAGATCTGCCTCACCAAAGTTTCTGCAGATAGCCTCCACTATTGAAGAGTTTGGAGACCTAACAACAAAGACCACAGAAGAGGTGATAGGGTCTCTTAAGGCTCATGAAGAAAGACTGCAAGTATGTGAAGTGAAAGAAGATGAATCTGTCCTACTTACCCAAGCTGAATGGAGAGCAAGGGAAGAAAGTAACTCTCAAAAGAAAAACAACAGAGATTCAGGGAGTTATAAAGGGGGTAGAGGCAGAGGACGTGGAAGAGGCAGGGGTGCTAGTGGACAACAAAGGAAAGGGGATGAACCACAGCAGAAAAGAAAGTTTGATAAATCAAAAATCAAATGTTACAACTGTGAAAAAATGGGGCATTTTGCCTCAGAATGTCCCTGAGATGATAAAGAAGAGCAGGCAAATGTTTTGGAATAAGAAGAAGAGGAACCTGCACTCTTGATGATTGAGTCGTGTGAACTGACAAAATCACAGGACATGAAAAGGAGCACTGAAGTACAAACTCAAAGAGAAAGCAGTAAGTGTGAGGCAGGATGGTTCTTAGATACTGGAGCAAGCAATCACATGACATGAGAAAGAAGTTGGTTTTCTGAGTTAGACTCTTCAGTACAAGGGAAAGTCAGGTTTGGTGATGGTTCAATGATAAACATACATGGACAAGGATTAGTGATGTTTCAGTGCACTGATGGTGAATACCTGATCATTTCCAAAGTGTACTATATACCAAAACTGAGAAGTAACATACTCAGTATTGGTCAATTTGATGAAAATGGAGGACAGGTCATTATAAAAGGAGGAGAATTGAAGGTCTATGACATCAACAACAGGCTGATGATCAAAGTAAAGAGACAACAAAACAAGCTATTTGTTGCAAATCTGAAAGCTGTAGGTCTGTAGAGAAAGTGTGTTTGTTAACAAGCATGACTGACAAAGCATGGCTCTGGCATGAAAGGTATGGTCACTTAAATTTTCAAGCTCTAAGAATGCTTACAACTCAGAATATGGTGGGAGGGATACCTAACATCATTCATGTTAATCAAGTGTGTGATGGGTGCATGTTAGGCAAGCAACATAGAACCACATTCCCTCAGAAATCAAATTTCAGAGCCTAAGCAAAATTAGAACTTTTACATGGGGATCTGTCTGGGCCTATATCACCATCCACACCAGGAGGAAATAACTACTTTATACTGTTAGTTGATGATTTCTCACGTTTTATGTGGGTATCACTACTGAAGCATAAAGGTGAAGCTCTTGCTGCATTCAAAAGAGTCAAACAGTTGGCAGAAAATGAAGTTGAAGAAAGAGTGAAGTGTCTAAGAACTGACAGAGGAGGGGAGTTTAACTCTTCTGATTTCAAGAACTTCTGTAACAAAGAAGGCATAAGAAGGCACCTGACAGCACCATACTCACCACAACAAAATGGTGTAGTGGAGAGGAGAAATCAAACCATCATGGAGATGGTGAGGAGTATTCTGAAAAGCAAAAATATGCCAACAAAATACTGGGGAGAAGCAGTGAAAACATCAGTATACCTACTAAACAGAGCTCCAACCAAAAATGTGGAAGGAATGACACCTTACCAATTGTGGTATGGACGAATTCCAAATGTGCAACATCTGAGAGTTTTTGGTTGTATAGCTCATGTCGAAATTGTGACTCCTCATTTGACAAAACTAGCTGATAGGAGCATCAAGACAGTTCTTCTTGGTTATGAGGAAGGATCTAAAGCTTATAAGCTACTAGATCCTAAAAGTGAGAAAGTTATTGTTAGTAAAGATGTGCAGTTTGAAGAAGATAAAGAATGGCCTTGGAAGAGTCAACAAGAAGGGAGGGAGTCAGAAAGTGGGAACACTTTCATACTAAGAGTACAAGGAGAACAAGATACTAATTTCATCTCAGGTTCATCTGAAGGGGGAGTAGATACCTCAGCACTTCAATCTCCTCAGAACTCTCCTCTAAGCACACCCAGATCCTATGAGAGTTCAGACTCAAGTTTGGATCACACTAAGTTCAGGTCTTTGCAAGACATATATGATGCGACTAGGGAGGTGGATGAAGAAGTAAGTTGATATGCACTAGTTTATAGTGCATAAACGTATGTTTTTATGTTGATTGAGTGTGGATTTTCCATCATTTTTAGTTAGTTTGTAAGTACTTGTTTTATTTTGTTTGTAATTGTTCTCTCCTTCTTTTTCGGAGTTTTAGAATAGCGATAGAGTTTGTAGCAAGGAAAAAGGGAGAAAAACTGAAGACAAAAAGACCCAGGAGCACAAAAACCCGACCGGGTCAGACCGTAAACCCGGTTGGGTCAGTTGAGGAACAGATCTAAGAAGAAAAAGTAAGACCCGGTCGGGTCCCATACCCGACCCGGTCGGGTCAGATATGACCTGGAACACCAGAACATGCTGAAGATCACAAAGATTTTGGAAAAAATCTGATTTAGACCAAACCCGGTCGGGTCCCTCACTTGACCCGGTCGGGTCTGACTTGACCCGGACAAATTAACGTGCTGGAACAATGAAACGTGGGAGATTATCTGATTTTGACCGGTACCCGGTCGGGTATGTACCTATACCCGGTCGGGTACCCGGCCAAAGGTGTTGAAAAGCACCTATAAATAGCACTCTTTTTCTCCTCTTAAAATCGATCCCTTCTTCCAATCTCTTTAGCTCAGTTTAGAATAGCATTTCTTTATATTTTTCTAGCTATGTTTAGCCTCCAAATGAGGAGCTAAACTTCCATTCTTGGTTTTGCTCTTGAAGCTTGTTGATTATTAAAGTTGTGAGTTATTTTCTTAACTTCTTCTCTTGATTATTAATTCTTCCCTTAATCTCATTCTATATTAATGTTGGAGGGTTGCTAAGTGACGATTAGTTAACGTCCCGACATTAATTACTAGTAGAAACGATCAACGAACCGATGGTTAATCGTTGGTGGTTTCACAAGTAAGTAACTTCGGTTTATTAATGCACGGTCGTGGTTAATAGACTTAAGAGGGATCAATTTTGTTGGTTAAACCGAAACCGTTGTGTTAAGGTTATCAATCTCAATTGATTTCATCAAGGAGTTAAAAAGATTGAATGCTAATATTATATCGGTATAAGGCGTTGTTCTATATTTGATTAATAGTAAGGGTTATTAATGAACGGTCGTTGTTAATAACTACCCTCGATGAATTGGAGATACTCCTCGATTGAGTATTCGAGAGGGGATAAGTTATAGATATAACAAGGATCGACTAAAATATATCAACAAGTGGAAAGTAGCAAAGCCAAGTCCCTTTTATTCTTGAATTAAACACATATAGGTTGTTCATCTTAGTTTCTTAATTGAATTAAATCACTCAAAACCAAAACCCTCCCTTTTTATTACTAGTTTCATAGAAAGAGAATTATACCTTTCCCTGTGGATACGAATTCTACTACACTATACTACGTATAAGTGTTTAGTATTGAATTTATTTTGACGCACCGTGACAAAGTGCTCGTCAAATTTGGCGCCGTTGCCGGGGAAAGGCAATTAATTTTTCTTTTTATTTTATTTCAAAGAAAAATCAAAAAAAAATTAATATATAAAGTTTTCTATTTTTGCTGAGCTTTGTTTGAGTATATGGTAAAAACCCGATCCATAAACCAACTCACCTACCAAACAAACCCCGAAATAGAAAAAGCTCTCGAGCGGTTAAAGAATAAATTCTCAAATACCGACTCGGGGGAATCCTCAAGTGCTAGTTCTCAATCTAGCGAGTCCGAGGAGTCAATATCAATGGCTCTTGAAACAAGAACGCTGAGGGAGCTCACAGCCCCCAAACTAAATCAACAACCCTTATGTATCACTTTCCCAACTCTTGATGCGGGTGCTACATTTGAGTTGAAATCCGGACTCATACATCTACTTCC